GAGTCACTACTTCTGTTAGAAATAGTGTTATGTACAGTACTAGGGAAAGTAAATACACACAGTATAGACCTATTAAGGGTAATACTAAGTATAGGACAGGTAGGGAAGAATGTGTGTATCAGATTAGAGAGAGGATTGTGTCTTAAGAATAGTTGTATATAAATATTGTTACAAGTATGTACTTGTTAAGTATGACTTGTACTACAGAGTAGGTGTTACAATTCTCTACTCTTGTACCTTCAGTTCTAAGGGTTCTACACTCTTCTATACTAGAACTCAGAACTTCTGTCTCTTAAAAGTACTGTTTATAAACTATATACAGACTGACTCTTACTACTATCTCTCCTTACTTTATTATTCTATTCCTTTGACTACCCTTTCATTCTTTGTTCATTCTATAGTCTCTTACCCTTTGTTCATCCCTTCATTCTTTGTACCTTTATCTTTGACCTTCCTTTCTTTCATTCTTTGTAGCTCATCATTCTTAGTAGCTTATATTCTCTGAGTACTCTTATATAGTGTTAGCATTTATTCTGGATAAATGTGTCATATGTCTTAGACATGTCTTCTGAGACATACATCCAAGACACACAATATTAGATAGCATATATAATACTTAATATAAGGACAATGAAGCTCATAGGACACATATAACAGTACACAACACATTACCAACTATGCAGTCAACTTGTATCAATGCCTACACACCATGAGCAGAGCCCACTGAACCCCTACTGGTGTGAACTACTCTAAGGGAATCATTACAACCTCAAAACACTAACAGGTTATGAGCCTTGCACTCCCTGCTCATGTCTACATTGTTACTATGCTTTTATCTTACCCTCTACAAACGTGACTCTTCAAAATCATCATCTAAATGATTATGATTCCTCCTCACTGGCTATATGTATAACTATATGCACCACAATTGTCATTGCAAACGCTTCAGTGTACTATATACTATAGTACAAATGATATGATACACTCAATCATACTAAACTCAATAAGTATCATTGAACTACTCCATTTAACACTGAATCAATTTGATTCTACATGTACAATCCATTCTAATTGTCTATGAACCTTTGGCACTCTCATCTGAGCATACCAAATGCAAATCGTCTTGTCTGGAAGACTACAATCACTTTATACAACAAGATATGATACGATACTCGTAACTGGAACGTATTATCTATGTGGACCTAGACACACCTGTCTGAGCATCCCAAACACACATTGATTTATTAAACTAACAAGACATGTATTGGATACACAATACAAGACATATATTGGATACAGACAATGTATCAGATGTCTAAGACATACAGACAGATGAACTAGTTGCTTTAAATGCAATGAGTACTCAATAATACTATATCCAAACACTGAATTACTTCATCTTACACTACAGAGACACATTATATTAATAATGTCTCACATAACAAACGAACATTTGATAGTATATCAATAATATAAATGATTAATACTATAAACGAAAGAATAATGCTAGCAAAGCATAATAACAATATAAAGAAATATATTGCAAACGTATAATCAATCTAATAATGATTAGGCAAACGAATAAAACGAAAACAAGAGTATAAATGCTACTAAAGCATAATAACTTGAATATAAAAACGATTTATACTATCACAAATGAACAATCAT